TTCCTTAGTGCTCGTTATATACGAGATCAGATTACGACCTTCATTCTTGAACAGACCCCTTCTCGGTTTTGGACCTAGCATCGCGCTGCCTATCCAGGTGTTTTCATACACCCTGATAATTTTCTTCTTAAGGCCTACCGAAAAAGAGTCTGATTCCTGTCCAAAAAAGATTGCAACACTGTGTTCCTTCAGCCATTCCGATTGAGTTTCATAGGCTTCTGGAGAGATGTTGACTTTCACATAATCTTCCCCCCGTTCTATCTGATCCTCCTGATCACTAATCAGTCCCTTGGGAAGGATTCCGCCCAGGTAACAATCCTGGATCGTCTGTTTCAGCCGAACCCTATCCATCTGAAATGATGGGGTTCCTCCCCCTGTGTCCATATCCAGATCCATTTCGTACTGTCCGTATCGTTATATCGTGTAAGTGCGCTAGATAACAGGCAACCCCACCGTGCTCTTGTCAGTCCATTCTATCAATAAACAGATAATAGATCAGCCTCAATTAGTTGGACTTGGTCATACTCGAATCCCCGTTTTGCACAACCATGAGATGGCGCATTACGGCTCGGGAAAATTACCTCCTTGAAGAAAACCGTCGGGACATCTGTTCTCCACTTCGTCAACATCATAACTCGAGCCTGCCCTTGCAGGCACGAACATTCGTCCGGGTACTTGGGCAAAAGGCCAAATAAGTTAACTCACCATATCGCGCATCGTGTCTGGTCTTTGGAAATTAAGTAAGAGCATCCAAGGGGATCGTCCAGGGATCATGTTACCGAGCGCACGGCGCTCCCAATCCACTCAAGGATTGGTTCGAACCTCACCACTCGTCGACATAGCTCAGCTATGGCGACTCCTGCACGAGGTATCAGCCATTCCTGAACACGTGTCATGGACCCTGGCTGTACTCTTGCCTCCAAGCGCCGGCCGTCCCCGAACGACCATTTCGTCAAAATGGACATTTTGTATTTTTTGAACGAAATTGAAACCGAGTTTTCTGACCGAAAACTCGTCAGGGTCCAGCGTTTTACAGCTGTACATGGACCTAGCTTGAGACCAGGCACCTCCAGGCAGGACTGCTTGGAGGTACCTGGTCTGAAGCTAGGTCCATGTACAGCCAGGGGGTCCACAGCAGATTTTTAAGAGTTTTCGGCCAAAAACTTGCTTTCAATTTCGTTCAAAAAATAAAAGATGTCCATTTTGACGAAATGGCAGTCTTTTGGCTCTTCTGTGGTTTTCCCCTTCATTTCGACTCTCTCTCTCTCTCTCTCTCTCTCTCTCTCTCTCTCTCTCTCTCTCTCACACACACACACACACACACACACACAGACACACTCTATATAGATAGATAGATAGATAGATAGATAGATAGATAGATAGATCGATAGATAGATAGTTAGATAGATAGATAGATAGATAGATAGATAGATAGATAGATATATCACACAGAATGTGTGTGTGTCTGTGTACAGTGTAAGGAGGTACGCACACAGTTTTTACTCAGATAGCCACACTCCTTGCGTCTTCCACCATGATGGCACTATGATTGTATTTGCCAATCAAAGAAAAGAAAAAAAAGGAAAATTTAAACATTATAGTGATATGGGGGAAGATAAGGGAGGCGAGGACAACCAAAAAAAAGAGGTTACAAAAGACAGGGATTTAAGCAGAGAATATCAAGGAGAATAAATGCCTACAACCTAAGGGAGTGAAGAAAGGGGAGGTAATGGTGATTAGAAGGGCATAGGAGGACGTAGGAAAAGATGAAGGGGAGGTGAAGGGGAGACAAAGACAACCTGTTCTTGTGTTTTTTTCAGTTGTATTTCGATTGGCAATGCAGGCTTGCAAGCACGATGGGGCATACTCACAGCAGCACTTTCACAAATTATATCTGACTGGGACAACGACGCACCTGGATGAATCTGACCGCAATCCCGTCCAGAGTATTGCCTCAGAATCAGATATTAACTCGATTTACGTCTTCTCTAATTACTCGCCAGCGCAAAGGTTGATATCGCGGTCGCAATCGGTCACCGCACAGGTTGGTATCCCGATCGGTCAAACAGATTGCATGTCAGAAGCAAGAAGTCAAAGCACAAAGCGACAAATGCCAGCTAGTTATAGTCAAACAGTTATATCAAACTGCGCCGTACTTGGAAAAAAAAAAAAAAAAAAAAAAAACTGGACCGTCCTTCAAAAAAAAACAAAACCTAAAAAAAAAAAAAAAAAAAAAAAAAGGGGGGGGGGGGGGGGGGGGGGGGGGGGGGGGGGGGGGGGGGGGGGGGAGCGAAAACGCGCTCAGGTTCTTTACCCTCCTTTCCGTCTTTCTCTCTTCTTCTCTCTTTTCTTCTATCTGTTGGGTGCATAAGAATGGGAGTTCCTTGCTATCATTGTCCTTGCTTACGCTTGACATACATACATACATAAAGATCCGCCACAGGGCACACGAAAAGAGAAAAAAACGAGTGCATCTTCACACCTTCAGTGCGCAAATGCGTTCCTTTTCTTTTCGTTCGGTGCGACGCGGCGAGATCCTATAATAGAGACGACGCAAAACCACACACACGCTACTGAAACAAACAAATAACACGATGCACAGTCTACACTAAAGTTCTTTTTTTTTCTCTTTTTTTCCCAATGCGTACAGCAAAGTCACTCACAAGAGAAAAGACAGTTTCTTTTTTTGTTTTGTTTTTTTTGGGGGGGGGAGGAAAGGGAAGCATAATTCTTCACATATGCATGCCACCCGAGTAAAAAATCACGTCTACCGGTAGTCGAACTTTGACGATGTACTTGTCTTCAGCAACCTGAGAATTGAACTTGAAAAAAGGAAAAGAAAAGAAAAGGAGCAGAAAAAAAAAAGTTAAAAAAGTTAAAAAAACAATGAAAAAGAGAAAGAGAGTAACAGCCATTGCAGAGATGATATCGTAATGAGATAGCTTCAGTACAGTCACAAATATATGTTGAAATTATTAAGCTTGTATACATTGCCCAAAGTGCACAAGTTAAGCCCTAACCTTCTCCTCAAGCTTCTGGATCTGGAGCCCCGAGTCGTTTTCCCCGACTGCGCAGCACTCTTTTACCTTGCGGGTGAGTGTTTGCGATTTAAACTTTTTTCTTTTTTTTTTGAAAAAACTCACCCTGCTTGTATATCGAACCTGCTATTGAGTAATTGAAGTTGGTGTTTTGAAAAAAATAAAATAAAAAAAATCGAACCTGCTTGGAGTGCTGATATGAGCAGCAGTCACTCCCAGCTTAAAAATTCTTTCTTCCAAAATCACCACTACTGTAGCATGACACGAGCTTGGTTGCTTCTGGCTCGCCCTCTTTCGTCTTCCTTGAGTCTCAGAGAGGGCAAACTCTCGCCGGACGTTCGGTCAGTTAAAACATACAAAGAACCAACGGGCCTAGTAGCTCAATTGGTACACCCCCCCTGGACTTGTTGAAATTATATGAATCAGACGAGTCAATATCGAATCCAGATACAATCAGATAAGGAGAAAAAAAACATTCTGAATTGACTGGTGCGGGTCAGTTCAATGGTGATATCTAAAGGCTTTCGTCCTTAATAGCAAAAAAAAAAAAAAAAAAAAAAAAAAAGAGGCTGCGTTTTCGTGGAAACGGTTAACGAGGGTCCAAAGAGATTTTTGCTCGTCCGAGTACCAGCGATCACTCGACAAAATCTTCTTCAAGTCCCTTCTGTTTTCCGTTGACGTCCTTACTTCACTCTCCTTCGTTTCCGCTTTTCCTCCTGAGGAGGCTGAGGCTCCTCCTTCAGCTGCGCCTTTCCTTGGCTTGCGTGTCTCAATCACCTCACCTTCGGTCCTAACCTCCATAGCCGTCTTTCTGTCGGCTTTGCCTTGTTACCCCCCCCCCCCCTCTCTCTCTCTCTCTCTCTCTCTCTCTCTCTCTCTCTCTCTCTCTCTCTCTCTCTCTCTCTCTCTCTCTNTCTCTCTCTCTCTCTCTCTCTCTCTCTCTCTGTCTCTCTCTCTCTCTCTGTCTCTCTCTCTCTCCACGGACACATGTCAGTAGATTTACTGTAATATCTGTAGTAGTTTTCTTGCGGGGAACATCCATCTCTTTTTGTGATCCTTGAAACTATACCGGCCGGGAACCTGAAAATTCTACACGGATGGACCTGACCGGGGGTCGTTAGATTCGCCAGCTTCAATCCCTCATATCCATCCCACAGTCATCTCCCCACAAGTAACTTAAAAAAAAATTAACCTTATAATTCAGTACACATACCACAACGGACAGAGAGTTTGACAGCGAGGCTACTTCTTCCCTTTTCCAACGCATTCCCTTTTTCTTAAATACGTATATAATGGTATATTACCGATGTAATACGGGTCGGATATTAAACTGATCAGCACGACGATACTCCCAAACTACCTCCTCCGACTCCTCGCTCCTTTTCTCAGGGCGTACTCACGTTAACACTATCTTTGATGTATCTCACCCCATTCACAGCAGATCCCCGATGCATTTGTGAGGAAATTTCGGCCAGAAATAAGAAAAAACGGCCTCGTGTGAGTAATAATATGCCCTAACTCAAATTCATTCCGGCCAGACATAAGACAAAAAGGCCTCCTGTGAATATTCCCTCACTCATAAAGAGTCAGAATTAAAAAGGAACACGATATTCAGAACCAAACGATCTCCAGAAACCGTCAGCAGCTGTGACATCCACACAGCAAAGCAATCCTGCTACACGGAATGACTAAATTAATTACGTAATTTAAGAGGGCCAATTCTTTGTGTGTCGTTTGGTCTAACCCCTTGCCACTGATCTAAGCCAGACCGAGCTTTTTTTTTTTTTTTTTTTTTTTTTTTTGGTTTAAGCATCTATGTTGGGGAGTAGAGGACGTGCTGATAAGAGCAGACACTCCCAAGCCAGACCCAGCTTGGTCTCAGCCCCCCTCCAAAAACTCCTCACATCAGCAACCTGGTCCCACATCACACCGCAAGCAATCACTTTCATCTCAAGCAGCGTGGTTTTCTCGATCTATTGATTGTCAAAATTTGACAGGCAAACAAGCAATTGTTTTCGAGTGTTTTTCCCTCCCCCCCCCCCCCCCCCCCTCCCCCTCCTCCTTAACCCCTTGCCACCGATCTAAGACAGACCGAGCTTGGTTTTGAGGAATGCCAGGCCGTCGATGTCGCCGGCTCTCATCGCGCACTCGTCGGGTTTGGTCGGGATCTCAGCGGCCGTGCACTTGGAACTCGCCCATGTCTGCGACACGCCGTCAAAGCTGTGCGCCGCATCCGAATAGCCAAAGAATGCCACGTCAGCATTGTACGGACTTCCTTGCGCGATCGTGGCGCGCGTCTGGCAGTTGCTGTAGAAGCCATCAGCAGTCCCTACGTGCAGCTGCAAGGACCGGTAGGGTCTCCAGTAGCTTCCGGCGACCGTCGATCCGAAGCCTAGGGCCGTGCCGCATCCGGGGTAAAAGGCGACGCTCGCGGCGAAGATGTGCTCTGTGACCAGTCGCTCGGAGGTGCTGTCGCGTGGCGTAGCGGCCGCCTCGACGAGCGTGGACTGCGCGCCGTGAGACCAGCCAAGAAGCGCCACAGACGCTCCGTTGACCTTAGATCCAGCCAGACCGGTCAGGTAGGAGTGCGCAAGCCGAGCATCCTGGACACGTGTCGTGTAGGGATCAACAGAGCTGGTGCCTCCGCACTGATTCTGCTCCGCCTGTGTGAGCAGGCCGCGTGGCGTGAAGCTATCAACGGCCAGCGCCACAGCGCCAACGCCCGCCAGCTTCAGCCCCCACTTCTCGATCTGATTCTGAAGATTCGGCGTGCCGTTTGAGTTCGCCGCGTCGACAATATTGTTGGACCACATCCCCGAGCAGCCGTGCATCATCACCACGGCGGGAAAGTTACTCCCGCCAGAAAATCCGTCCGGCTCGTACCGTACGGCGGATAAAGTGACGCTGCCGGGCCCGGGGAAGCTGACCTTGCTCACTGTCACCGCCGATTCTCCGACAGGCAAGGAAGAAGCCATAGCCATCACCACGAACGTGATCAACAAGACGGCCGGAGACATCCTGTCCTTCGCAGGAGCCATAGCGCCGAATCGGATCAGGATGCCGACCCACTGGTCGGGGCTGATGATGATGAAAACACAGAGATCCCGACGGTGCAAAGCTACTGTGTCCCGTACCTCGTCGTCGGGATGCTCGAGGCAGGGCAGGCGCCTCCCGCCGCCGACTTGCGTAAGTTGCGTCCTTCCTTGCGTTCTTCCTTTGCTCCTTCCTTCGTTGCGTGCATGCGTGCTTGGCAAGATGTGAACGCTTCTGTCTTCCCGAACAGCTGACAATCTTAGTCCCAACAAACAGACCTGAATCGGGACCAAGGTGGAACCTAATGGGCCACGGATTAGCTGGCCAGTCCCAGGGACGATCACTACGGGAGGCAGCGATAGGGCTAGGTAGAGGATGGGCAAGTGAGGTAGACTAGTCGAAGATCGGCCGGAGTTTCTTCAGAAAAGAACACGAAGAAAAGAATGGAGTAGGAGCAGTCGAAGCAGCAGGGGATCGAGGAGTGAGAACGGCGGGATATGGCGGACGTGAACAGCACAGGAAGAAGACGGGGACGATCCGTAGGACGCGCTGAAGCAGGGCAACGGCACCAGCGAAGAGACGGGGAGATGGAGGAGGAGGAGCAGAATGACGACGAGTAGGTGCCGCGCAGGAAACACACAAAAAGAATCTTGATTGCAGTCGAGTCTCGGCTTCCCACTCGTGACAAGCGAGATGACTGTGCGTGGTGAACAGCCGTCAAGCCTTGTGCATGCTGGTGACCGGCGGAAATTGCTCTTGACATTTCAAAATTTATAGCCTCAACTGGGACGCTGGACCCGTTTTCCAGCAGGTGATGCTCCCCACCAACAGATGGAGCCCCCCCTACGTGCTAGCGGTGCCTGAAGGCAGCTTGAGATGCTGGTAGAAGCAGACATGTCAAGCTACTCCCAGGGCGGCTCCATCTACTAGTGGGGAGCTGTCCCTGCTGGGAAACGGGCCCAGCGTCCCCTTCTACAATTTCAGAAAACACACAGAAGTTGTGTCCAGGAGGGGGGGGGGGGTCCCTCCACAGTCTAGCAATAGGGCCGTCAAGATGCGAGCCCCTAAATCCAATCCGCCAAACTCTTACAGGCCCGTAAGTTGTTCATCGACCGTCGAGCAGCAAACCCCTAAACCTTCCCCCTAAAACTTTTGAGGCCCTTAATTCTTCAGCCCTGAGACAGAGCTTAACTCAGCAACACAGACTGCAGGGCACATATCCGTCTCATTCCCAGCCTTCTCAGCAGCGCTGGCAAGGTATCAGCTTCTACTCTCATATTCCAGGGTAAGCCTGTCTCGAATGGTGGTCCTCCTTTCAGCCTCCTTAGCAGGTCTTCGGGAGCTGTCTTCTTCTTGCGGCCAGAGTCGCTGTGTTTTCTGCTGTGCGCCATGAAGGGTTGTGTCGTGTGTTGGTCATGTTGCTTGCCTTCCTTGCTGGGTCCACAGCTTGTCAGTTCCCGCAGGCCCCGGGGATGCAGGGGGCAGGGGAGGGGGGAGCGGTCACGGGAGGGGGGGAACAAGGGTAAGCGGGCGCGGGCGGGGGCGGGGGCGTGGGGGACGGTGGCAGACCGGGCATCGAGGGGTGCGGGAGCAGGATGAAGTCAGTTTGGAGGTACAGGATGTGGAAGTCGTTCATGGGCCTTCTGATCCAGGTCTGTTCTGAGGACTTCCAGGCTATGAAACGTCAGCGGCCGCGGTCGCCGCGGGTATGACCGCGGTCCGCGGTCGGGGCCGTTAGCCCGCGGTTATGACCGCGGTGACCGCGGAATGCCGCGGCCTGCAGCGGCCGAGGGGAGAGGGGGTTGGGGGTGGGGGTTTCGGATTGGGGTTCCGGAACCCTGACCCTACCCCCTCGAACAAAAAAAAGTTAAATTTTTTTTTTTTCGGGGGGATCGCTTTCGGTGTGTGGAAAAAAAAAAAAGGAAAAACAAATAAAAATAAAATATTGATTGATTGATTGATTGATTGATTGATTGATTGATTGATTGAAATATTGATTGATTGATTGACTGATTGATTGATTGGTTGATTGATTGATTGATTGATTGATTGATTGATCGATTGATTGATTGATTGATTGATTGGTGGGGGAGGTCCTCCCAACCCTCCCCCCGGCACACACACATACACACACACACATACACACACACGCCCGCGCGCACACACACACCCGC